AATATTGCAAACAAAAGCAAAGATACTTTGCTTGAAAGAACCAAAAATTAAACATTCTGTTTACTTTCCTAAGGATTTACACATGACCAAAAATACTACAAACTCAAATTTAATTTGAACATATCATTTCATCTCATTAAATTTGAAAAATTATAATTTCAAAATAATTTAGTCCACAAATCAAATAAAATCTTAAATTTGAAAAATTATAATCTCAAAATAATTTAATCCGCGCGGAACAATGCTACTATTATATAAACAAAGTAACAATCATCCCTGAAGTGTAGTGTAAGCCAAACAAATCACCCAAAAAAAAAGAATAAAAATCCTTTCTTTGTCTCCCAATTTTTTCTCAAAACCAAAACCTCTCTGCAAAACTTCACTATCAATGGCGTAAAGCAATATCAAGAGACCCTCTTGCGTGTCCAAAATCTTTACACAATTGGGGCCATACCCACAAGAAGAAAAAACCCTTAAAATAGCTAACTAAAAAAAAAAACCTATTTACAGTGGAAGTAGAAGCATTAAAAATTGATTTGTGTATGAGGAATATAGAGAAAAAAAGCAAAGCTGGGAAAGCACGGAGATTTATTGTTGGAAGGTTTATTCGATTGTATCCATGAAATCACGGCGGCGCTTGTGTTTTCTAAGATGAGTGATTCTGCTTATCGTGTTGATACTACTTCTCGTCTTGCTCAATGGCGAATCGACAATTTGGCTTCATGTACTTATCGCAAATCAGATCCTTTCAAGATCGGAAAATGGAATTGGTCAGTTTTTTTATATTCAAAATCCACCCAATTTGTTTATTTTTCATCTGATCAGCTTATTGAATTCAAAAATGACTGAACCCTATAGCTCCGCCTCTGTTCTCTGTTTTTATAGTCTGAGAACGAAGGTGGAGCTACTACAACAATAACATATACAGTGTAATTCCACAAGTAGGGTCTGGGAATGATATAGAGTGTACACAGACCTTACCAGTACCTCGTAGAGATAGAAAGGTTATTTTCGATAGTTGATTGAAAAGGAGAGATAGTTCACTATGATAGTGTAAATGAATGGTAGTGACAATTCTGAGTTTTAGAGGAGTGTACGTTATGTTGATTGAAAATATTTTTGTTTGATTGTGAAGGCATTTAGCTGTGGAGAAGAACAGGACATTGTCCATTAAATTATATCCAGAGATATCAAATTTCACAAGAGAGAATCCTCCAATTGCATCTTTTATCATTAGATTAATCTCGTCGTTGGGAGATCGCAAGACTTTGATTCACCCTGGTACCAATGTCTTAAACTCATCAATCTTTTATACATGTTTTTGTTGATATCGTAATGTAAAATTGTGTTTTTGTGATTAAAGGTGTCTTCTTTTTTTGACATTTGTAGAAGTTATAGAGAAGCAACTCAAGAGTAGCGACGATTTTGTTTGGCCTATTGAAATCCCCTTAACCGGGAAGTTCATCATTGACGTTGAATTCCTTGATCTGAAGACTGCAACGCCTAATGTACTGTTTCCTCATTTCCTCGTCTTTTTCAGTTATTACTATGTTCAGATATTCATATGGAGCATGTTTTCCTTAATAAAGTGACGTAAACGATTCTTTTGATACACAAAAACTTAATTTTGGATGCATCATGGTTCGTTTCTGCCAAAACTCTTTTATTTGGATGCATTAGATTTCTTCCCGGTCAAATCTAATCTCAGTGAAGGATCCAACCATGTGTTCACTGGTTCCATAGAATCCAGTGTTTTGGTGTCTAACACTATATATATGTCGAAAATCAAGTATAGATAAAGTTGGATATACTTTTCCGAACTCACAATGTCTTGGTTCTGCCTAACGTGATGTTCTGCTCCACGAGTAAGGATAAAGTTTGTTCAACAGATGAGATGTTTCTAATGTTACATTTCAAAACTTCTCTAACCATGGGGAAACTTATGCGTGGAAGATTACCGTAGTGTTCCTCATTCATGTTCATTTGTGTTTTGTGAACTGGCAGAGTGGGGAGCTGTGCTCTATCTGGGCTGAAGGATTAACCGAGAAGCAATCGAATGCAACTGCTCTGTCATCACTTGGCCGAATGTTGTCTGAGAGCATTCACACGGACATCATAATCAATGCTTCAGATGGAAGCATTGGAGCGCATCGTGCAGTTCTTGCTGCAAGGTCACCTGTCTTCCGAAGCATGTTCTCCCATGACCTCAAAGAGAAAGAATTATCTGCTATACACATCTCCGACATGTCAATAGAAGCTTGCCAATGCTTTCTGAATTACATTTACGGGAACATACAAAATGAAGAATTTTTAACCCATCGACTGGCTTTGCTTCGAGCAGCTGATAAGTACGACCTCTCAGATTTAAAGGAGGCATGTCATGAAAGTCTAATGGAAGATATTGACGCGAAGAATGTTCTTGAGAGGCTCCAAACTGCTTCTCTTTATCAACTGCCGAACCTGAAGGCCTGTTGTATGAGGTATCTCGTGAGGTTTGGTAAAATATTCGATATAAGAGATGATTTCTCTGCATTTCTGCAATATGCAGACAGAGAAATCATCGGTGAAATCTTCCACGAAGTTCTTGCTGCTTGGAAAGGATTCTGATGTATTTTTCGAGCTTAAGGGGAGAAATTGAACAGGGCAAAGTTCCTGCTGCTTGATTGATTCAGTATTGCTTACCAGATCAGTGTGTAAACATATGTTTACTGGGCAATATATTTTGGTTTGTGTATACTCAATCTTGTACATAAATTTGATTTTACTGAAACATATGTTACCATTGAGCTTATGAACGTCGATATCATTGTGATATATTTATGATTATTATTAGCATGTTGAAAAGATTTGCATAAATGTGTGTAGTACACGTGATGTGTACTTGTTTGTTAAGAATCGAATTGTGATGTAATAGATAAAATACTTGTACCCTTAATCAGAGGTTTCAGGTTCTTGGAAATGAAAAAACTCCTCTCAAGGAGCGAGTAGTGAATTTCAGATACTAGATGAAAACTTTCACTAGTGTCCATGCCTATGGCTTTGTTATGGATTTGATAACCTTATTTCCTTACTCATGATTGAGTTAGTTAGCATTTGTGGAATCGCAGTAGCTTAGCTGATTGACTACTTGAACTTTCACCAACGATGGTGGGAGTTCAATTTTCCACCTTATAATTTTCTTCCCCTGCCCTCAGTTGTTGTTTTTGTTTTGAAAAGGTTAGTTAACATTTAAGGAATCATGGTGACTCATTACTTAAGAAAGATTTGTTGAAGATGATGTAACAAACTAAGCAATGTACCTTTGCCTAGCCAGAAGGTAAACAGTCAATATCAAGGCATACCTTCCAGTGAAGCAACCTTTTATATAATACCACACATACTTAATTTCTTTGTGATATGTTTAACTTTTCAGTAAAAGCTATACCTAGACATGTCTCTGTGGCGTTTGAGTATTCAATAGGTACCATTCCTAGTTTAGCTATCTAAAATCGAACAAGTTTAAGGTGTCGTCTATGTATTCAGTATGTTTCTTAATTTTAAAACATGTTATGTGATACGAGGATAACATTTTTCTAAAGTCAAATGAATCAAGTAGTCTTTTTTATGGAAAAGAATACTTTAACAGAGTAGGGAGATTCTCACCTCGAAAGAAGATTTTCTATGCTTTATGAGGGCTAACGAATGTCTGCCCATTGTCGAAAGGTCAAGGAAGTTGGTGACATGATGACAAGAGAGCTGACAATTGGAGCGCCCGGTGAATTGATCTCTCCAATTTGATTTTAATGCAACAAGATATCAATTTCCATCATTTTTGAACTCTCCTCTATTAGGACTTCAACCAACAAATGAAAGCAAGACTTGATAAAGAATATGGACGGAATATTACTAGAATATCATGGGAACATTCTCTTTGATTTGGGCCAAGGAAAATAAACTAAATGATAAGGGAAAGATGACAGCAAATTATGGGCTTGGGTTTTATTTGGGCCTTAATGTGTAAAAGGAACAGTCTCTAATGTTTTCAAAAAGTAATCAATTGATCCTTAGCCATATAAGTAAAGATAATTGCTACTTTTGCAATCAAGATGAACTGAGGCCACGAGAAAATTATCAAAATGGTCCTTAACATATGAGTGTGAGGCAGGGGTGAAGCTAGAAACACCAATATAAGTTCAGCTTGATCTCATAGCTTTTGCTCAAATAACATCTTTTTATTACCACTTGAAAATGGTCATCTAACTCATAAAGTTGAAATCTCGATTCTGTGTTCAGAAGATTAAGGAATTTCTGTGCAATCTGATATCCAACATAAAAAGATCTAATGGATATATTTTCTTTTCGTTTTAGTTGGTTCGTTTCTCTGTAGGTCATGTAAAGTACAAATTGAATTATTGTACTTGACATTTTGAGTATATTGTACTTGTGTATCTTATCCACCCATCACTAGATTTTGTATTGTTAATGTACATACAAATGTCCATAACCAACAATGTAAAAGGATCAGGTTCAAATCTTAGTAAAAAGAAAAAGATTTCGAGTAACGTCCTTATTTGTCAAAATTTTTGCGGACAAAGTTATCCGATAAAATAATTGAGATACGTATATAGAGTTCTGGACACGACAATTGTTAGGATAGTTTTTTTTTTTTGGGGAAAAAGTTAGGTTCTTTTATAACAGAAAAAGGTACTTAAAAAAGCAAATTAAAGCAGAGTGCATTTAATTTTTAAATTCCTCAAAAAGACCAAAGAAAAGTTGGTCGAATAAATCCAGATAACAGTAAAGTGAAAAACGTGAACCCCTTCTATCACACTTTGCAGTTTCATGAATACCTAATGGTGAATAAAAAGAAAATCCATGGGATTGCTCGAAAGAGCATTAGGTATTCATGAAATTAGTCGGGGTAGGGATGTTTAGCCATCACAAAGTTTGCAGTTTCATGAATACCTTTCGAGCGGATATCTTTTTATTGAGTATCGAAAAGATAAAAAGAAATTAAAAGGTCTCAAATTTTGATTAAATAGTATGAATTTAGTCATGAATATATAACATAAAAACAGAATGAATTATGAATTTGGATCTAAAACAGAACAGGATTAACTAATTAAATTCAACATCAAAGTAAAAATACAGAGCAATAATGACGAGCGCTTTACACAAAATTAACTACTACACCATTATATAAACGAATAAACAGATCTATAATGCTAAATTCATAATGAAAATTCAGAATCTAATTCGATGGCGAAGGAGCAGTGGAATTAGCAAGAGGAAAACCTAGAAAGGGCCTTGAAGAAGAACAGTGAGAAGCAGCAGCATTGATACAATTATCAGCGAGATGAAAAGTATCCTTCAATTTATGAAATCCATTTTTGAAAACTCCAAATCCGAACAAAAACCCAATCGCCACCACAATTGCTATTAAGCATACACACAGCATGCACATTCTACCACCGCAACACATCTTTTCTTCCTCGATCTGCAAAAAATTATGGGTTCTGCAAACTGCAATTGGATGAATTTGTATTATATATAGTGATGAGAGCAGTTGATTTGTTGGAGAAGGAAAAGGAGTGTTGGGCTTCTACTCGTTGCTAGCGGTTACTCTACGCATCGTTTCTGCTTTTTAAAGTAATAAATCCTATCTCACCAAAAACATATTCTCTTTCTTTTTTTCCGTCTTAATTTATGTAATATTAAGAGATTTGGATAAATCTTCTCGATCCTACTGTTGCTCCGCAATTTATTCTACACACATACTAATAATTAAATTTAATTTTATTGCTTTGCTTTTAAAACATAACATGTTTTATATTTTATACTATACATGACCTGTTTTATATTTATACCATTTACAACTAATATAGTTTTTCAAAAAAGATAATCATATTTTACCTTTTTACTCTGTTAGTCATTCAAATTTATAATCTAAAAAATTGAGATGTGAGTGTTTATTATATGAGCAATTTTTTATATATATCATACTGTTATAAGTTTTATTCTTAGTGAGAATTTTTTTATAAGTTTTGTATTATGAAATGTTTAGAATCATAAGTTTCAGTCATCAAGTTATAGAAATGTTAATTATATCCTCTTTCAAATCAATTACGTTTTAATTTCTTTTAATTATATGTCAACCTGTAGGTTACAAGTTCAAACCGTGAAATAATTTTTTTTTCTAAAAATGTAAAGTAAAATTGTATATAATAGATTTTTGTGATTCGAGACCTTTTCCGAACCCCACACATACTAGAACTTACACATCAAATTGTCTTTTTTTCAAACTAACTCACATAAATTGAAATATAATGAATAATTAATTTAAATTTTTCGATTTAGTGTCTTTACAAGCAAGATAAAAGAAAGATGAACTTATCTTAGACTTTGACGATTAATTTTCTTTTACTCTTTTTTTATTTACGTAAAACATTTATTTGTGTTCCTAATTGTTACGTTAATGAATTTGTGGCGTTACGGCATTGAATTCATGGTTACGTTGAACGTATTCAAAAAGATCAATTATTAGTCACTTTATAACTTATTTTATACGTCCTTTTACATTTGAGGGACAAAATCCAGTAATTTTTTTGTGTTGAAAAAAATATATTTAATATGTACTAAAAAATAGAAAAAAATTATGATTCAAAATACGTAAATTAATTTTTTTGATTTCGCCTCTGATTTAAAAAGTATTATCCATTTACAATTGATACTCTCTCCCATGAAAAGGTTCTTAATACACAAAAAAAGTGAATAATAATTTTTGCCTAAACTTTTTAAAAGTTTGGTCCTACTATTGCACTATTAGCCCATTTGTTTGTTTGAATGAAATGGACTGATGAACGATTACTCTAAAAATAATTTATGGATTAGGAAGGTTAGTTTAGCTAAACCTCAAACATAATATGGATTTTGTCATCCTCTTGTTGTAAATTATTGACATATTAATAATACAATTCAAATTTAATTTAATTTTATAAATAGAGGTTACTATTTATAATGAAGTGCATCAATCTACTTTTTATTTTTTCCGTTTTTTTTAACTTCATAATATTGCTTTCGAGTTTTACATATACAAGTTGAATTTACAAATTCCATGACATGTATTGATACGTGCATGAACTTCGACAACAAAAGTGGAAGTCATACAAAAATGATAGAACTTCCATCACATAAGTTTGGCCGGAAAATAGTTGGACTCATACACATATAACTGTATATATATGAACTTCAATTATATAAAACTTCAAACACCACGTGTCTGAAAATGTTCAAAATTGATATACATACCAAATAAATAAAACTCCGAGTACAAATTAAATGATGACATCAAAATCAAATATCCGTGCACTTTCCAATGTTTTCTACCAAAGCCTGGCTAGAGTTGAACAGATAAAAGCCCACGATTGTATAATTGATTGGGCCCATGAATTTTATGGAGTGAACTATTCAAGTTTTAACTCGACCCAAGCCCAATATCCTTTCGATAAGTTTGCAGTATAAATCAACAATTATTTCCAAGAAGTATCAAAATAATTTTCATTATCTAACATTGTTTTCACACCTTTTTTTAAATCATTAATCATCTAGTATTTGAAATATATTAACACAACTAATTTAGATTTGCATCGTATAATATTTATTTAAGATGGAACTCATTATTTAAGAAAATATCCTTTTAAGTATTATTTTAACATTGTATTGGAACTTCTTATATTCATTGATCATTTTGTATTTTAAACCTATTGACTTGACTAATATAGATATTCTCTGTATAATGTTCGTTTATAAGAAAAGTGCTTAGTGTTATAATTTTTTTTTTATTTTTAAGATTCAAATCTAGAATCTGTAATTAATGGGGAGAAATTCCGTCCATCTTAATAATATTATTATCAAAAATTATTTTCAAACATTACAACATTTTAACGAGAAAATGACATTTGAACCCACTAAAAGTACTAGACATTGACATCCCTTAATTTAAACCCCATTAGCATATTTTTCTATAGTTTCTTTTTACCCACTTATGACATGGATTAGTTTGAAGACTTTGAAGACTAATAAGCAAGTCATCACTTCATTTATTTTTATTGAAACTTATAATTAAAAAAAATGTTAGGACACACTTAAATAATTATTTAATATCGAGCCAAACATTATTTTTTCTATTCTATTTTATATAAAAAAACAATGTTTAATCATGTAATATCAATATATTAATTTATTTAATATTATATTAACCGATGATAAAAGAAAGTACTATAATAATAGTTGAAGGACAATAACATCACAACAAAATTGAAATAGACATAATTCTTCAAAATTTAACAACAACAATGACAATAACATACATAATCGCACAAATAGATTTGTGAAGAATTATGAACTGTTTCTGATAGATCTTCGACTCAAACTCTTAGAAACGATAATAAAAAATATCAAGACCGAAATGATAAAAGTTTATTTATTTTTTTATAATACTTATTGTTCACTAAAATTAAAATCTTAAAAAAATACTTAACAAAAGTTAATAAAAGTACTAATCTCATCTCTCTGGCGGCTCTGCTCCCAAGTCTGCATCTTTCTCTCTTCAGTCGGATCTCAAAAGTATCCATAAACCGATCCATCTTCTCCTTCTTCTTCAACGATTCAATCCAAATCCCTAATTTTCTCTGCAAATCTATACGTACAGTATATCTGTATCTATCTGTTTTCCTCTTAAATAAGCACCTTTGAGTTGTCACTATCATTTATGGCTTCTTCTCCTGGCAATCCGAACCAACCAGGTGGTACTGGTACTGGACCATTTGATATACACAAATTCTTCAAACCCTCAACCCCAACAAACCCTAATCCCCAAAACCCTACTTTAATTCCATCCCCTTTTCCACCTCCTAACGCTTCATACCCACCACCCACCGTCGCCGGAGTCGGACCCGGTGGGGTTTACCCTTACCCACCTCAGACTACAACCCCTTTTCAGCATCACCCTCAATTCACTCACCGCTCGCCGCAATACGGTACACCACATGACACCCAGTTAATGCATCAGCAGAGATCCATGTCTTTCCCCACTCCACCACTTCAACCACCACCACCTACTAGTAGTCCTCATCAATTCCCTAACCCTAACCCTGGTGCTAGGCTTATGGCACTGTTGAGTGCCCCACCGTCTACTTTGGAAGTTCCGATACAGTCCACTATGCCTATGCCTCCCATACAACCTACTACTTCGGGGTCTGATCTTTCGGATTTCTCTTCTGGACCGAATGTTGGCGTTGCTCATTCGGGTCCGGGACCAATGAGAATGCCGAGCAGTAAGTTACCTAAAGGGAGACATTTGAATGGTGATCATATTGTTTATGATATAGATGTTAGGTTTCCCAGTGAGGTGCAGCCACAGCTGGAGGTTACTCCTATTACTAAGTATGGTTCGGATCCCGGTCTTGTATTAGGCCGGCAAATTGCAGTTAACAAAACCTATATATGTTACGGATTGAAATTGGGGGCTATTCGGGTTCTTAACATTAATACTGCATTGAGATCATTGCTTAAAGGTCTTGCGCAGGTTGGCTATTCGGGTTCTCAAAGCTTCTGCCTTTTTCTGTTTATTTGGATTTCTTAGCTAGTACATGCTGGAATATCATTATTTATCTGTTATACAAACCTTATAGGAATAATGCTACAATTTATGCTAGTTGCCAATCGTAAATGTGATGATGGTGGTAATTGTGGGGAAGTTACATTACAGTGTGCAATGTGTTCCTGATAAATTTCTTTGATAAATTTATGCCTGATACGAGGGCGCCCAATTGTCCGCTTGGTGTTTTTTCTGACGTGCCTTTCAACTATGGAAAAAGTTTAATTTGGTTGAAGGACACTGCTTTTATACGGAAGCTTTGATTGGCACATTTGCATTCTAGCTAACGTGTCGGTTGCACGTGAGATGAGAATATGCTTTGTTTCACGTGATTTGGAGAATAAGCTTAATAATATTAATATGCATTTAAATTTAACTGTGTCTCGAGTAAACAAACAAAATGCTGTTATCTGCACATATGTTTTATATGGAAGCTTTGATTGGCATATTTGCATTCTAGCTAACGTGTCAGTTGCGCGTTAGATGAGAATATGCTTTGTTTCACGTGATTTGAAGAATAAGCTTAATAATATTAATATGCATTTAAATTTAACTGTCTCGAGTAAACAAACAAAATGCTGTTATCTGCACATATGTTTCATACGGAAGCTTTGATTGGCATGTTTGCATTCTAGCTAATGTGTCAGTTGCGCGTGAGATGAGAATATGCTTTGTTTCACGTGATTTGAAGAATAAGCTTAATAATATTAATATGCATTTAAATTTAACTGTCTCGAGTAAACAAACAAAATGCTGTTATCTGCACATATGTTTCATACGGAAGCTTTGATTGGCATGCTTGCATTCTAGCTAACGTGTCAGTTGCGCGTTAGATGAGAATATGCTTTGTTTCACGTGATTTGAAGAATAAGCTTAATAATATTAATATGCATGTACAGTTAACTGTGTCTCGAGTAAACAAACAAAATGCCGTTATCTGCACATATGTTTTATACGGAAGCTTTGATTGGCATATTTGCATTCTAGCTAACGTGTCGGTTTCACGTGAGATGAGAGTATGCTTTGTTTTACGTGATTTGAAGAATAAGCTTAATAATATTAATATGCATTTAAATTTAATTGTGTCTCGAGGAAACAAACAAAATGCTGTTATCTGCACATATGTTAGTTGTTCTATGCCTTACCACTGGAAGACTTCCGTGTACTTTCAAGTTCAGAGTTTAAGCCCATCCCGCTAATGATAATTGTCTTTGACTTTTGAGCAGACACAGAATTCTTGTTAATGACTTCCTGGCATTTGTTTATTAGTATATCTCTTGAAGGAATTTTTTTTATTGATTGATTATTGTATAAATCGTTGATATGGAATCTTCTTTGGTTCAAAAAGGAATTATTGATTTTGTGACGTATAAAAATCTGGAAATTATAATCTACTTTGTTCTTACTGATAAAAATCCATTATTTTAGTCATTTGAAAATCTTGTTCTAATTTCAGAGGGTCACAGACATGGCTTTCTTTGCAGAGGATGTTCATCTCTTGGCTAGGTAGTGGTCTGCTCTTATGTATTTTATCATACTTATGTAGTAAGTTTTTTATGTTTCTAACTTGGTTTTGTCTCAGTGCGAGTGTTGATGGCCGGGTTTATATATGGAAAATTACTGAAGGACCAGATGAAGAAGAGAAGCCACAAATTACAGGAAGGATTGTCATTGCTATTCATATTGTTGGTGAAGGGGAATCTGTTCACCCACGTGTTTGTTGGCATTGTCATAAACAAGTAGCTACCCATCTCTCTTTTTGGTTATCCTTTTCTTCTGTTGACATTGTGCTTAATTTTTCTTATGTTCTCTTAATAGGAAATTCTTGTGGTTGGAATCGGGAAACGCATTTTGAAAATTGATACCACTAAAGTGGGAAAAGGTGTTGTATTTTCAGCAGATGAACCTCTGAGGTGTCCTGTTGACAAGTTGGTTGATGGGGTACAACTTATTGGTACCCATGATGGAGAAGTGACTGATTTATCAATGTGCCAGTGGATGACCACTCGTTTGGTATCTGCATCAGTGGATGGCACGGTTCGTGAGAGTTTTGCTTTATTTTGTAGTTTTAGTTGTTTATGCAATGTCCTTTTTCAGTTTTTCTTTAAAGAAAGAACTGTTTGATATAGGTATCCTTGGCATAATCTTTATTTAATGGTTCATATCACTTAACATGATTTTTGTTGTGAAAATGATAACCTAACCAAAAAACTCCGACCACTACTTGTTATTAGCTGAACTTTTGGAGTTGAGTTGTTTGTATTTGTTGTTGAGTGGGACTGTATTATCTTTTTTTGAAAAATTACCTCCCAATGTTAAGAAGTTGGTAAGAATAGAATGTGAAAATTTTCGGTTCCTGATATATTTATTTCCAACGGTACTTGTATGGTTCCTTGGGTTTTAGGCATTCGTTATCTTTTACCTTTTGGACCCGTTTAAGAATCTGTAATGAAGCTATGATTAAGTCTGATCTTCATTGCAAGTTTATATATAGCATGGGTAGTTGGAAAAGTTTGGTTCCTCTGTATTGACTATTGACAGGTGCCTGTGGATTTTACTGTGTTTTCCAGATAAAGATATGGGAAGACCGGAAGCCACTTCCAATCGCAGTTCTCAGGCCTCATGATGGTCATCCTGTTAGTTCTGTTACCTTCTCGGCTGCCCCACACCGCCCAGATCACATTGTACTCATCACTGGGGTATGTGCTACTGCATCTTGTGCTGGCCATTTTTGGTCAGAATCAACTGTTTTATTTCTTAGATAACCTCATATTCTCGGATTTCATTTACTTGCTGTCCATGCTAATTTTATTTGATCTGTTTCTCAAATGACAACCCATTTGAATGTCAATCACAACTCTCTATTTTCTTTTCCATGAGTTTGCCTGTTGGTGATTCTTGAGTTTGAGTTGACCTTTTTAAGGTTTTCAGGGTCCTCTTAATCGGGAAATAAAGATATGGGCATCAGCGAGTGAAGAAGGCTGGTTGCTTCCCAGTGATGCTGAGTCATGGCGCTGTACACAGACATTGGAGCTGAAGAGTTCAGCTGAGGCTAATGTCGAAGAGGCATTTTTTAACCAAGTTGTAGCTTTGTCTCAAGCAGGTCTGCTCCTACTAGCTAATGCAAAAAAGAATGCTATATATGCTGTGCATCTAGAGTATGGCCCGAATCCGGAGGCTACCCGGATGGATTACATAGCAGGATTTACAGTCACCATGCCAATTTTGAGTTTCACTGGGACGAGTGACCTATTGCCCCATGGTGAACAGATTGTGCAGGTGTATTGTGTACAGACACAGGCCATTCAGCAGTATGCCTTGGACCTGTCCCAGTGCTTACCACCTCCAACAGAGAGTGTGGTTTTTGAAAGGACAGAATCTGGCATTTCGCACGATGCTGCAAGCATTGAAGGATTTGCTCCTGTTGACCCCCCAGGAAGTAAACAGCAGGAGGTTCCTTTATCTAGTTCAGCACCTAAATCAGCAGTACATGACATTGGCTCTGAGATTTCACAAACAGCTAGATATCCTACAAGTACTGCACCTACTGAATCGACCACCTCCTCCATTCCAGAAACTAAATCGTCTACTTTGCCCAGTGTAACTAGTGATAATGATATTGCCCCCAGTGCATCACCTCCTCCTCCTTTGAGTCCTAAATTGTCTCGAAACTTATCTGGTTTTAGAGGTCCGTCAAACAGCTTTGGGGCAGACACCTTTGATAATGACCAAGTTGGAAATCAAAAAGTTGTTGAATATCCAGTTGATCCGCAAAAGGATGGCACGCCCCCAAACTTGTCAGATATTGCTTCCTTGGACGATGAACATAAAACGTCACGGGATGATGTTCCCCCTGGTATCAGTCATCCTGTAAAGTTCAAGCACCCAACTCATTTGGTGACTCCTTCAGAGATATTGATGGCTAGATCATCCTCTGAGGTTAGCATTGTTAATGAGCAGAAAAGTGAGTCAGAAATGAATGTTCAGGATGCTGTAACTAACAATGACACCCGCACTGTAGAGATGGAGGTTAAAGTTGGTGGTGAAGCAAAATTCAGTCAAAAAACTGATATGGGCTCTCAAGACCTTCATTCTTTTGTGTCTGAAAATAAAGAGAAAGTTTTTTGCTCTCAAGTATCTGATCTTGGACTAGAAATGGCTCGAGAATGTCGCGCCTTACCTCCTGAGACCTATCCTGTAGAGGAATCTAGGCAGTTTGATGGGGTTAGTGGAAGTGAGGGACCATCTCAACCTTCAGTTACACCAGAGGAAGACCATGACTCTGCAAAGGACATCTCTGAAAAAGATTTAGACTCAACTATGTCAGTTACTGTTCATCAACCATCAGCTCCCAGTGCAAAAGGGAAAAAGCAAAAGGGGAAGAATTCTCAAGTGTCTGGCCCATCTTCAGCATCGCCTAGTGCTTTTAATTCAACAGATTCTCCAAATGACACTGTTGTCAGCTCAAGTACCCCTTCTATGGAAAGTGCTTTCTCACAAATTCTGTCCATGCGTGAGATGCTAAATCAGGTGCTTGCCTTTTGTCCTAAGAGCATATGTACTTATATATGTTTAGTTTAGTGCACTTTTCATTTTGTTATGCCTCTATAATTGTATATATCTTTCTTCATTTTTTTGTTTTAATTTTAATTTATCTTTGTTGGTACTTAGTTTGACATATCCTCACTGTTCATGCATTAGCTTTTAGGTTATTCCATTTTTTTTGAGATAAGGGTAACTTAGCTTTTAGGTTATTCCATGTAATTATAATAGTTACTTTCATCATTCTCATCATTCATGAATGGTATCTTCGTACTTTTCCTTGTTCTATATGCGTCCTCTAACTTCCTTCTGCAATATTTCTTAGCCTGGCTGATTATCCTCCTGAAATCTGTTGGACAATTTTTTCAAATTCCATAATTTTGGTGGTTTTTTATGTGTTCATCTTCTGCAACTATTTTTATCAGAACTTTCATTAAGGAACTCTTCCTCAAGTGGTGGAAGCTGATTTTCTTTTATATGCTTCTCTGTGTGGGAAGAGCATTCTTTACATCATTGAAATGTGTCTTGTACTGAAGATATGTTAAAAGATGCTGACATTTCAGCTGTCCTGCAGTTCTATTGATTTGATTACAGTACCAATCCAAACCAAAAAAAAATAATACTCATTGTAGTAATGTCCTTCGATATCTTATTCTTATGTGTTGTCTTTTTTCTCGGTTTGCTGTTCCATGTAGGTTCTGACTATGCAAAAAGAAACACAAAAGCAGATGGAAATGGTGGTTGCTGTTCCAGTGACCAAAGAAGGAAGAAGACTTGAAGCTGCCTTGGGACGGAGCATGGAAAAATCTGTTAAGGCCAATTCTGATGCTTTATGGGCTCGTTTACAAGAAGAGAGTGCAAAACAGGAGAAGTCTCTCCGTGATCGTACACAACAAATTACCAATTTGATCTCTAACTGCTTAAACAAGGACATGCCAGGTCTGATGGAAAAATTAATGAAGAAAGAGCTAGCAGCTGTTGGACAAGCTGTAGCACGCAGTATTACCCCTACTATTGAGAAAACAATATCAGCTGCAATTTCAGAGGCATTCCAGGTTATTATTATGAAAATCTGAAGCTTTTCTTGTCTGGATTTGCTTGTGCTTGACTGAATGTTATGGTGCAGAAAGGAGTTGGTGACAAGGCAGTGAACCAACTAGAGAAAGCAGTAAACTCCAAACTTGAAGCTACTGTAGCTAGACAAATCCAAGCACAATTCCAAACCTCTGGCAAGCAAGCTCTTCAGGTGAGCTGAAAGTTTCTGATTGAGCAATGCCAGTAGTGTGTACAACAACATTTTCCTCGCAATGTCGTGCTGCTCATGTTTTTTCTTAATGTATGGTTTACGATACTGGATTTCTAGTTACTCTTGTTATCTTTGATCTATCATATTGCACTAAGAGTGTAACTTCATGATCCTCTCAGTTTGCTTCCCTTCCTGCTGCCCACCTCACTTTAGGTGGATACTGTACTCCTCAAATAAATGTTGAATGTTTCTTATCTGATGGCATTGTAACTGTCATGCAGGAAACACTGAAATCTACTCTGGAAGTTTCAGTGATCCCTGCCTTCGAGATGTCATGCAAGGCAATGTTTGAGCAAGTAAATTCAACATTTCAGAAAGGCATTGCTGACCACACGGTTGCTGCACAACAGCAATTTGAGTCCGTGCATTCGCCTTTGGCAATTGCTCTAAGAGTACGGACCTTTATATTTTGATTAATCCTTTTGTTTGCTTGCTAATCTTTTGTTGAACTGTTCTTTTTCTGCTCTTCCTTTATCTAAACTACATCAATTAATCATGCTTTCAAAATGCAAAGGTATAGTCCTTTCACTTTCTGTGCTGACTTATTTCTCATTCTTTACTGTGTTTTGAATTCAGCAAGTCACCTTTTCTTCTTTGGATCTCTATAATACCATCTTTAGAATTTGTTTGGTGTTCCAAGAAGTTAAAAACCAAACCCATCAAAAAGTTTGGGGAACACTTTTTTTAGTTGTTTAAATCCTGTAATCTATACTTTATAGTGAGTATTCTTGACTCAAGTTATCGTGTTTTTGTTCACTTTTATTTTTTATTACAACATATTAAATGGCCACTCGCTGATCTAAATATACACACTCAGCTCCCCCAAATAGATTGCCTTCCTTCCACTTTGCTCTGTCCCAAAGTGGTTAAAGAAAATGGCCATACAATTAATCTATCACAAAAGGATGAGCTGTGCCCACTTTTTACTGTCCTCATTTATCAATGCCACTTTTCACTGTTATTCTCCAAAAACAAGCATCCAATATATCACACAGCTTGTTTCGTTATCCTCATTTCTCAATACTACTTTTCATTACACCTCATGTTTCTGAAACAAGACAAATCACTTGTTCCTCTCATGTTAATAGTTGAGTGGTATCTTTGTTATGTGTACATCTATTTATGTTTCCTCCCTCCCTGCTTCCATACCTGGTGAATGTGTTGATGTGATTTTGCATAGACTCTGAGATATTTAAATTATGGATATATTTCGGAAGTGACCGGAATCGCATCCTCCTTAAAATTAGATACTCATTAGACTCAATTGTCAGGATGCCATCAATTCAGCATCGGCAATGACACAGACGTTGAGCGGAGAGCTTGCTGATAGTCAGAGGCAGTTGCTTGCTCTTGCAGTTTCTGGAGCAAATTCCCAATCAGCAAATCCACTCAACCACATGAATAATGGATCATTGCTACATGAAAAGGTTCTTCCCATACCTTAGTGGATTAAATAGTTAGCTGCTCATATTTTGATATTAGGAATTTACTACTTATTACTTTTTGTTATTAAGAATTTGCTGCTTATACTTTGCTATCACCCTCTTCTTCTTTTTGTCCTACTTTGATATCATCATGTTTTTATGTCTGCAATATAGATTGAGACACCTCCAGATCCAACCAAAGAGCTATCTAGACAGTTAGGGGAGCACAAGTATGAGGAAGCATTCACTGCAGCATTACAAATGAGTGATGTGTCCATTGTGTCGTGGTTATGCTCTCAGGTATACTGTTTTCATTGGCACTTACTTATAGGATTATCAGGTAGAGTCCCGTTTCTGAAAAATATTGTTTTAAGGGGAATAAAAGAGACCAATAAGATCCAGGAAAAGAGGCACAGTTAGGGGAGAGAGAAGGAAGTAAATGGGGCATCTTAATGGTGTTAATGTTTTTGTACAAAAATGAAAAACTTAGTTCTGCCATTAGTTTAGAGCATACTTTTACCTTGTCCAATTAAAAGTTTTTACCTTAAATCTGTGTTCATTGACATCAAATAAAATTGGGACGATACGGAGAAGAAAGTTCTTTTACCTCAGAACCTATCCAAAGAATTTCAAATTTCTGTTGTAATGAATTTTATGTGCTTGCATTTAATTCTTGAGATATGTAATGGGGATTTGTAGGATATAATGATCTTCCTGATTTTTGTTGCGCTAACAAAATGACGATGGCATTCTGTGGTAGGGTGTTATTCCTGACCGTTTCCTGGTGTCTTATGCCAGGTTGATTTGGCTGGGATTTTATCCTTGAATCCCCTCCCTTTGAGCCAAGGAGTGCTCCTTTCACTTCTTCAGCAGTTATCATGTGGTATTAGCTCAGAGACAGTCCAAAAACTCTCTTGGATGAGGGATGTGCTATCTGCCATAAATCCAAATGACCCACTGATCGTAGTGCATGTTCGGCCCATCTTTGAGCAAGTATATCAGATGTTACTACAACGCAGAAACAGTGCTACCACTCCTCCTGCTGAACTTTCAATCATCCGGCTTCTTGTGCATGTTATCAATTCGATGCTGATGGCTGTTAAATGATGATATCAAAGAGCAATTATCATATTTGGTGAATATAGAAAAAGCCTGTACAAATCCCAGAGGATTTCATGGAATGGCTTCAAGTCGTAACCGGAGAATTGAAGTGTACACCAACCTCCAATTATCTCTCTCTTTTTATTCAACTCTTTCTAGATAAAATCTGTAATCATTTTGCCTGAATTCTCAAGTTGTAGAGACTTAGCAAAAGAAAAAAAAGAAGGAATTTTCAAGTTGTAGAGTTGGGTGTTTTTGGATGTTGAATATTACAAAAATTTTGTGCTTGTACATTGTTACTTTATTATACTGCAATTTCATTTCAAGTGGGAACTCGCAACTGTCATTCTTCTAAAGTTTTTCAATGTGCAAGGAGTAGCTCCTTTTTATTGTAAGCAAATGCTTTTATTAGATGTGTATCTTACTAACTAAATTAAGTTTATTAATAATGCTTTGAAATTCTAAATTTGATTGGTACTATAACCTTTCCACCTTCAACTTCTTTCTTTACAATCAGTCCAGGCCTATCTTCATTTTTCAGTGTATTAATCCTATTTCGAAGTGAAGATTCAAAACCTGAATTGTGAGTCATGGGCTAAGACTCCAACAGGACCTGGAGTGTGAATGAATCTTCCGTGGAGAAGTTTGATGGGTTGGAAGGGCCCAAAGAGGAAGTGGCTGCCCTCCTTTTGAAATAACACTCAAAACAACAAAAAAAAAGAAAAAAAACTTCTAGTAAATAAACAACCAAAGTGAGACAGAAAATCGGTGCGTAGAGCTGATTTGCCTGCAATCTATCCTCCATATATGGAATTAACACAAGTATTTGTTCCTCAAACAAGAAAATTTTCTTTCTCTTTTTTTTTTTTTTTTTCATTTTTGCCAATGGCTCAATTACAGACAGAGAACAAAGAAGGAACAAAAAAAAATGAAAAGCAGGATGTAGTATGTACATAAGCTAAATCTCCATCTAAATGCCATTTGACAAAAAAAATACAGCGGAGAAATGTAGGTCCCTAATCATCATCTCCTATCACCAGCATTGATCCGTTTCCCATCTCCGGGTCGGGTATATACGAAATCCATCAACCGACCGAGCAAAACCTCGCCGGCGAGAGCCCACGCGCAGCTTGAGATCGTATAGAGCTCTAGCTGAAGGATCAGATAGCGTAACATAAGCATCGTGAATCTCAATGAAATCCCGTCCGTCGGACGATTCTTCCGGCAGAGAAGCAGCAGAGTCAGGATGATACAATTTCGCTAAATTCCGGTAAGCAGCCTTAATCTCTTTCGGTGATGCGTCTCTTTTAACTCTTAACACCTCATATAAACTCACCGATCTTCTCTCCATCATCATCGGAGCCTCGGCAACGGCAGATGCACATATTGTCCCCCTCCGATTACTCTTTCCGGTGAACAAACTGCGGCGATTAGATCCGACCGGCGCGGCGGCGGAATAGGATGATTTGTGAACGGAAAAGGGGAAGGAAGTTGAAGAAATTAGGGTTAGGGATTGAATCATTTCAATTTTTTAGGATGAAAGAGAAAATGAGAAAGAGGATTTTATATAAAGCTAAAAAGTCTAAAAGGAGGGAATCTTTAAACCGAGGACGGCGGGCATACCCACCGATTTTTTGTTTATTTAAGAAATACAGTTGGAAAATGAAAGACTGTGTGCTGATTAGGCATTTTTTAATTATTTTTTTTGTGTTTTTTTTAATCTTCTAGAAGATTGAGAGCTTTTTGTTTATTAAGCTTCTAGAAGATTTAGAGTTGTAGACTAGTTGTAGTGGTAGTAGATGTAGAATTTCTATCATATGTTGTTGAAGTGGTATAAATTATGGACTTTACTACACAATGCTTGACGTACAAGGACAACTAGTGTTGGTATTTTCTATTATATACTTCCTAATATTAGGGATGAACATAGAAAAAAATATTGTGTCTTTGCGAAAGAATGAATCAGATTGTGGTATATGATTAAATTAAAACAAAACTATTTAGCATTGATTCGATAAAGTTTTACCATAATTGGGCAGCTTGCGAGATCAGCCTTCTTATATTTTCTCCGAAAAGAAATGAAATTGATCATTGACTTTAACTCAATGCCTTTAACCCCATTTTATAAATTTTACTGCTAATCAAACTGACAATTTTTTTGATAAACAATTGCTCTTAAAAAGAAACAGAGGTGAAACTAAGTTCAAAGAAGTCAAAATATACCTTAGATACAACAAAATTCTATCCAACTCAAACAAATTCTTTTTACAATTGGGGTCAAAGTTTTATCTTCAAGTAATTGAATACTTTTACTTGAGACTTCCAAATGACTCACTGACTTGTCAAAACTACAATTTTCAATCATGTTAAGATAAGTTTTGAATGATCATTTTGGACTCTTCACCAATTTTGAATCATATCATTTAATACTTTGAAAATTGGGGAGGGTGGGGGACAATGCTTCTAGATCCAAAATTGGAGAAAAGTCATTGTCATTATTCATTAATTGGTACTATTGACGTCTACTTAGTTTTTTTTTTTTCTAATCCAAAATTGGGTTTGTACTTTGAAGGTTGGATAGGTCTTCATGCACTACAAATAGCTTTCAATTATAATTGCATTCAACTATAAGATAAGCCTTCTAGAAACCTTTTCCTTTAAACCATTTCTTAAACCACTAAATTAGTAATATTATCACATGTCTTTGTAATAGTTGTGCTTTACCACCATCTCTCCCAATTTTTTTTTTTTTAAAAAACTTTCCTTAATTAGTAGAAGATCATCCATTGATTAAAATTTTGATTCATCACGCCTCATGTGAAAATAATAACCATCGTGTCTTCCACCAAATCAAATTCCTCACTAGTAAATACTACCTATATGAATATTTTTTTTAATTGTGTCTTATATCTTGCTAAATGTTTTAAAAGTTTTTCTTAGATTATGCAAGTCAAATACCATCACATAGATTGAAAATAAAATAATATTAAATTATGTGACTATCATGATTTCGAAAATTACCTCTCCGTTTGCACGAAGTGATCGTAAAATTTGCATGACCTTATTTGATTAAATTTCACTGAGTATATTACTATTGTTATCATAATACACCTTATTAATTTTTTATTTTTTTAAAGATAAGCCTTATATGAATAAGGGATAAAATTGTCAAATATGTATTTACTCATATCCTCAAAGGAGACTTTTTGTTTCTAAAAAAAAATTAAAATTCCATTGGATCCTCAAAAGCAGGATAAATTGGAAAAAAAAAAATACAGGATATATACGTATCTAATCTCCAACTAATAAAATGCCATATACAGTATTAACGCGGCAAAGTGGGTCCCCTAAATCCTAATCATCTGACATCACCAACACTGATCCGTTTCCCATCTTCGGGTCGGGTAAAACTCTGACCCATTCATTCGAATACCATCGTCGGAGCTCCCAAATCCTCGTCGGCCGGAGCTCATGTTTATCTTGAGATCGTACAGATCCCTAGAAACAGGATCTGATAACGTAGCATAAGCTTCGTGAATCTCAATGAAATGCCGGCCGTCGGAAGATTCCTCCGACAGAGACGCAGCATCGGGATGGTATAGCTTAGCTAAATTCCGGTAAGCTGATTTTATCTCTTTCGCAGACGCATTTGATTTTATCCTAAGCACATCGTAGAGACTCGCCGGTGTTTTTCTTCGTAATACCGGCGGTGCCTCCGCAACGGCGGCGGCATATACCGCTGCTGTTCGATTATTCCTTCGGGGAAATGTGACTCCGGATCTGAAACCGGCGGTGGAAGAAGGAGGGCTGTGAAGAGAAAAACGGAAAGTATTTCCGGCCGGTAGAGTTAGCGATTGGACCATCGGAAAATGATTTTGTTTCAGTAGAGTGAGATGAAGAAAGTTGTGAGTTACTAATTTATAAGAGAAGGTGAGATCTGATTTTATATAGATGTTAAGCACCCACCGTTTGTTTCTATTGGTTTACAGTTGGAACTTAGAAGACTGTGTGCTGACTATGCATTTTTTCCTTTGTACTCATCCATTAGTTAACTCAGAGAGAGGTGTCAAATAGACGAGTTGAATTGATTTCGTTTACCAAATAAATTGAGTGATATTGAGTTTGATTTTATCATTTCGGAAGTATAATTGAAATGTATGATTTAAGTCAAAATTAGTGAGTTTGGCTGAGTACAAACCCTGTAATTTAGTAGTGGGATAATAAATATGGTTTCATTATTAATAAACGTTTTAACATACGATATGAAATTATAATTTCAGCTTAATATTTGAACATGTATTTGAGATTATAATTTTAAATTATATGTCTAAATAAAACTTGAACTTCTGATTTATGTAATTTTAAATTATGATTCCATATCATATGACTAAATGAGCCCTTAATTAGAAGTCTTGAATTTGAGTCATTTTTGACAAGTAATGTTTTGCCTAAAAAATGAATCTTTTTTTGTACGAATCTAAATTAATCGAATCTCAACACAAAAATAAAGAAATACATTGGTTAGCTTGGGATATTGTAACTTTAGCAACACTACAAGAGAAGTAGTATATATATATTAACTTGAAATCGATGAGTTTTTAGATTTTGAATGTAGGAATTTGGAACATTACAAAACTGTGGTCTCAAAGCTCATAGTTAATAATAGTCCTTTCTAACGTGACAATTCCTCTAGAAGCATTTCCCTTTTTATTTTTTAATAATTTTTATAGCACCTCCCTTTCACTACACAAAAAACACACAATTTGGTGAAATGTCACTATTCTTCATTTGACTATTGCCGTCCCCTTCCAATTTTTATCAAATCTCTCTTCGTTTGGAGACCCAATGTCCGATATTTATATTGTGATTTGATAAATATAGATTTGTATAAAAAAAAAAATTATGTTAGAAATAAAGCGTACTTTAATAAATGTAATTCTATAAGCAGGAATGTAAGATTTGAATCCCAAACTTTTAGGGGTCGTTTGGTGTGAAGGATTGGGACAAATAATCCCGGGATAAATATTTAGTGGCACTTTATTTAGTGTTTGGTTGGGTTGTTTGGGATAACTTATCCTGGGATTAATAAATAGTACCAGGATAAGTTATCCCTCCAAAAAGGTAAATTTATTAAATGACAAAACTACCCTTCAAACCCTTTATGATAAGTTTCACAAACACCGCTTATGGTGTTAGCTTCCAATTTTCTTCTCTTCTTCATTGTAGTAAGAAGAATCACTCTTTGATTTGGGTACACTCAACTTTTCATTTTCCATTGAAGCCATAGATGGGTGATTGAAGAACTTCTTTACCAATAACCTTCAACTTTCAAGT